TACATTTCAGTCTTCAATTGATTCTGAGTTTATTTCGCTATATGGTGCTAGATAGGAAGCTAGTGTCATTCTCCATATGGATAGTTTTCCCAGTGCCTTTCATTTGAAGAGGGTGTCCTTTCCCTAATGTATGTTCGTGGCACCTTAGTCCAAAATCAGTTGGCTGTAAATATGTGGATTTATTTCTAGGTGCTGTATTCTATGGCCTTTACCCCAAGAATCATTACCTCTTAAAATGCAATTCAAATTAGCATGAAACATTTGCAGTTTAGGAAAAGGCTTATGGCATCAGAATCCTTATTTACAGGATTCATTATTTTGTGGTTTTTTGAGATATGGTCTTTGTCTGTCATCCAGACAGAAGTGCAGAGATGTGTTCATAATTCACTGCAGCCCTGAACTCTGAGTACAAGCCATCCTTTTGCCTCAGTCTCCCAACTAGCTGGGTCTACAGGCCTGAGCCACCATGCCTGGCTAATTTTAAAAAATTGTTTTGTAGAGATGAGTGTCTCACTGTGTTGCTCTGGCTGATCTCAAATTCCTGGCCTCCAGTGATCTTTCTGCCACAGCCTCCTAAAGTGCTAGGATTACAGGCATGAGCCATCAGGCCTAGCCTAGAGTATCATATTATTTTCAAAGTCTTATTCTGAGAGCCATTTATTGACTTTGGCCTAAATAACTCAATGTGATAGCTCTGAAACTTTTTTTGACAAATTTTGGGGAGTGGCTGTGAGGGAAGGGGTTAGACACTTTTCACTAGGAGATCACTTTGGCCTAAATAACAATGTGATAGCTCTGAAACTTTTTTTGACAAATTTTGGGGAGTGGCCGTGAGGAAGGGGTTGGACACTTTTCATTGAGAGACCCACTCAGTGCCGTTTCAGGAGGAACAAAAACAAATCGTCGGAAAAATGAAAAGATCAAGCGCAGGCGTTCTGTGGCAAAGATGATGATAGTAGAGCGTGTATTTTTGTGACTCATGGTAGCTTTAACTTCGCTCTTAAAATTCTGAGTAATTTAGGGGTTCACATTTGAAGACTGTGCTACATTATTGATAACATGTTATTTCAAGTAAATGCATTTCAAAATTTGTTACTGGTTTTGTATTAGATTATTCGCAGCCTGCTTCACTATCAAGCTCTATTATTTTATTCATGCAGTTTGATGATCTTACGGCCGAGAAGGAAGCTGTGTCTTCAAAATGTGTCAATTTGGCTAAAGACAATCAAGTTCTTCAACAGGAGTTTTTATCTATGAGAAAAATACAAGAGAAATGTGAAAAACTTGAGGAAGATAAAAAGATGTTGGAAGAAGAAGTATTAACTCTTAAGACACATATGGAAAACAATATGGTAGAACTTGGTAAAGCACAAGAATATAAATCGGAGCTAGATGAAAAGACAATGCAGATAATAGAAAAATTAGAAGAAATCCATTTACAGGTTAGTTTTTAAAGTCAGGTAAGTTTATCTGTAATGTGCTTTCATTTGTTTCACTGCAAATTATATTTTGGATATGTATATATTGTGAGCAATTTGCTTTGTAGAGTTCTAGAAAACAAGTGGCATCTTTTTTTTCTTTTAAATATTTAAAATTACATTATTATTATAACAAAATCAGTATTTCAAAGTAATGATTCTCACTATAGAGTCATTTGATGATTAAGACCAACTGGCATAAGATAAAACTGTGATTTAGAAATTATGTGATACTTTTGAATTGGTCTTAAGCTACAATGTTCTTTGATCACTTTTTAAAATTATGAATGGATTCTATTACTTTTTATAGGACCAGATTACATTAATACTAACATAATTATGATTTCAAATTTTTATAAATCAGATTTAATTCTGAATTCAGTTATTAGTTTTGTTGATATTGCTGATAAATATTTTAAGTTTCAGCCTCTTTTTAACATATTCAAAATTGCTCTTTGAATCACTGACTCAAAATGAAAGGCAGCAAACATATGGTAATTAGGTTATAATTGTTTTAAAAGTGTATTCTTTTCATTTGTTTTAGGAACAAGCAAAATATGAAAAACAATTAGAGCAGTTAAACAAGGATAATACAGCTTCACTAAATAAGAAGAAACTAACACTTACAGATGTGGAATGTAAATTCTCCGAAATGAAAACTGCTTATGAAGAGGTTACAACCGAATTGGAAGAATATAAGGAAGCCTTTGCAGTAGCATTCAAAGCTAACAATTCCATGTCAAAAAATTTAATGAAGTAAGTCAAAACACACTAACAGAAAATGAATTAAGCTCATTAATTTGTTTTGAAAGTATAATTTTTAGTAAGATGGCTTCAGGAGATCAGTAGGAAGTGACTGCTAATCTGATAATGTAATTTTGGAAAACAATGTTAGTAAATAATCTTACCTTTAAAATGTTCTTCAAGGATAGTTTCTGTCTCTATGCTCTCTCTCTTTTTTTTTGCTTTTGTATGGCTTTTTTCCCCGAAGTCTCATGTAGTTAACCTGACCTGTTAGTTTTTTCCACTAAGTATTTTTGAAGCTTTATAATTAATAAAGTGATCTTGTTATAAAATTGCCAGAATTTCCCTAAATAGAAATATTAAAGAGTTTATTTTTTGGTAGATCACAACCTAAACCCAAAGTGTCGAGTTGTGCTTCTACTCTGGGCACATACTGGCACTGAGGCAAGAACTGTTTTTGATTGTGATCTTTAGTATTATCACTAGAGGGTGCCTCAAGAAAGACTATTTGTGTAACATTTTCAAGGAGTTACAGCAAGTTGTCCTTGTGAAATAGGGAATAATTATCACAGGAATGAAAAGAAGTGTAATCCACAAGGTGGTTAAAAGAAAAACACCATGTTCAGCCTGAAGGGGTATGTGGAAGGCAGAAAGAACAAGCCCCACCTGCAGT